TTTTAATTAGGAACTGATGCCCTGAGATCCATTGGAAAATTTTGTACGGTGACAAAAATCACAGTTTGCTGGTCCCAATGCCATTTTTCATCTGGGATCTGTAGCTTGCAAGTCAGGAATGTAGAAGTATCTGCAATATGAAAAAAAAGAAAAGAATAAACTGAATGAAGCATTTGTATTGACGTTATGTTAGGTCATTAACATGGTTACTTTTAATTTTCAGTTCATAGAAGCCTGCCCTATTGGTTAGAGGACGACCTTTTTTAATCCATAGCCTTCACCCCATGTAGGTGCTAATAGGATCCAATCTTAAGTGCACAAACAAATTTACTAATTGAGCTAACTGGTTTAAGTGTGAGCGTGCTTGCTGCAGTTCTTTATCCTTTCACATGCATTGATGGAATTTCCAGATTCCATTTCTTTGGAACAAATGGAAATCATTGCAAATTTTTACTGGAAATTAAATTTATATTTTTTGTCAATTTATCTGTTCCAGATATAGACTAGTTTACTGCACTTATTACTTAACCGCCACATGTTTTTCAGCCTAATTCTTTTGTCAATATTACCAGATTGAAATAGAGATTCTTCTGGTTGGACAGCTCTACTGGACTGAAAGTTTTGATCCAAGTGCAACGGCAGCTTGTATTTTTCGGATGTAGTACCTAGCTAGTTGCTGAGGTTACTTGTTTGCAGATTCAACGTGAACTGTAAATATATGGATTTGTTGTCTTTGCTTCTCCTTTTCTCCGAGAAATGTCCTTTTTGCTTCTCTAGTTACTAATTATGAGATTCATTAGTATTTTCCTTGATCTATCTCCCTCCGTTTAATTATTTGATGTTGCATATGCTTGACATGCAGGATAAAACAAAAACATAGAGAAACCTTAACTTTTGTAACTTCTGTGTCTTCTTGTCTGTGTTTTGTCCATTTTTTATTTTTTATTTTTATTCCTTCATCATCTTGGAAAATCCCTATTAAATCTTTTGATTATAGAGGATTTTTCAAATATATTGAGTATTCGAGAAAGAAGTTGGGAGAAAATATATAATTGTGGTGTGAGAGTTTAAATGAAGACAACATACACAACATAGGAATGAGGTTTTTTGGGTGTGCTCATTTCAGAGAAAGCAACAAATGGATGGATCAGGCTGCTTATGGCAGGTGTAAACCATCGTTGGCTTGTGCTTCTGGAAAAATAAAAGAAAATGGATTGTTATTTGAGGACGGCTATATGGTTGTTGTGCCACTTCTTGCATTTGCCACCTCGGAAGCAGAAACTGGTTGAGTTGTTGAGATACTCATGTCCTGGTACGCAGCGTTTGGGACACTTCCCCTTCTGGCAAATCTTACTCTAGTTCGTCCGCTACTTCTTTCATTTATCACCTCAGAAGTAGAAACTAGTTGAGATGCTAAAAAATTTATGTCTTGATGTGCATTATTACTTGAGGCATTTCCCATGTTGGAAAGATCTCATACTAGTTATTCTATGTATACATAAAATATAAATATAAACACTAAACCTAACAACAATTATGTAAACAAAATCAAATTTGTAAAAGAAACATAGCTGCGCCAGACGAAGATTCTCCAATGTTGTTACAAGTTTGGATCTTTGTCATCCTCTTCTCTAGGATTGAGATTAGAGATGATAGATGGAATAAATTGCAGGAAAAAGAATGGATATTTAGTGTAATTTACCGCATTTTGTCTCACTTCAGGAACTGCATCTGTTGCCATCGATCTTTGCTTCTGTAACCTCACTCTTCCATGCTACATCATTCACCAGTTATTGCTGCTTTCCATGATCCCAAATTATGGCCTATATTTCCACAATTTCCACATCGGACTGGAACATTTTCCCTAGATACCTTATAAGGGTTTCTTGATTCGTCAACAACTCTTTTCTTTACCTTCCAACTGGTATTTTCATTATAGAAGGATGAATCTTTGATATTCCTGTGCTTACCCACTCATTATTAGTAGGCATTGGACTTATGAAATGCCTTTATATAAGTCTCCTTGCTATAATACTCATGCAAATATTGCTCTACTTTGGTAAAATAGCAGCAATGACATGCCTACATGGAATTTTACTCATATCCTACATTCTACATTCTAGTTGTATAGTGAAAATCCACTTCATATTTCATGCTACTACATGGGGGTAGCAAAATATCAACTATTGTCTATCTTGATTCTAGAAGCCAACGAGAAGCAAAGACAATGAAGAAGAGTGCCACAAATATCAGACGATTCTTGATTAAACATGGAGGAAGTTTAGGGAAGTGAAGAATGATGAAGAAGCAAGAAGGAAGAATTGGCTGGCTTTGAAGTGAAGTATTTTCAAGTAGAATGAATCTTAGTTAATGTCATTAATATCGAAGTTAATTAGTTTGATTTATCTGGTTCAACGTGTCAGTCTGTGGAGTTGTGTAACGACGTCCATGTGTTGGCTAAACCACGAGATAATGAATTGACAAGAAAAAAAACTTACAATGTGCTAAAGTGAAAAAAGTAAAAACATAATGGGCAAAACTGAAATTGACTTGTATTTTGTTCTTACATTGATTTTTTAAGGATCAATTTTTATTTAGCTCTACTTAGGAATTAAATTCTATCTCAAAAATTCATGGTGAGGGCTAAATAGGAATTAAAA